AGGTCTTTGGAAAACCATGATTGTCTTCCTCTAAATTGTCTGTCAATGAAGGCTGCATGTAATGTAATATAATTGTCTACTTGTAACTCACCAAAAATTCCATAAATCACTCAGGTTTTGAAAGGAATGAGGAAACGCACGTTTGTACACCAACAAACCAAGTGACTTATGAATGCTGAGTAGTGTATTGGATCACCAATTTTAACACGGCTTGTGGACATTATGAGTGTTCCAAATGTTGAATTGTTTAGATTGATTTGGTAGGTGTTTTCTATTCCATTCAAGGCCTAACGTTTCGATGCCTTTCGTCTTCCTCAGAGGCCGCTGAGAACACCGCTACGTTGTTTCCGCCAGGAAGTGGTGGTCTTGGCGGAAGCGCTTTTGCCAAGACCAACACTTCCGGTGCGGAAACTGACGTAGCGGTGTTTTCAGCGGCCTCTGAGGAAAACGAAAGGAGTCGAAACGTTAGGCCTTGAATGGAATAAAAACCACCTACCAAACCTGTCTGGCACTGCAGTACTGAAGAATATTAGCGATGCCGAGGTAAGAAAAGTGGAACTTTTGAATGTTTGAATTGAACAATTTCAAACAAAAGAATGAAAAAATAGCAGAAAGAAGAGAGTGCCCATCAGTGCTTATCTATCTTGCGGCTCTGGACTCAGCACCTCGCCTCGCTGCTCGACTGCTAGCTTTCACAACCATGAGGCCCAGCATGCGCATCCTGTGGGCGATTCGACCTAACTACACTGTAAATTCACATACTGACTGGCATACCCGGTTCTGTCCGGCCTTGTCAACACACTATGACCATTGCCATTTCCAATGTTTTTGCATATTTCCCTCCCCCTGACCCCACTTCCCATCATGTTTCCTTGACCAGTATGCCCTCTTGCCTGTCTGCACCAACTCCCAGCCCTGTAAGTCAAACTTTGCAAAAAATCTATAAAATCGATAAAAGTGACGGATGATACACTAGTATTGTATTCGTGATCAGCATGCCCACTTACCTCCGTCACAAACTTCCAGCTCAGGTCAGACCTTGCAGGAAAATCGATAAAATCGATATAGATCTATAACGAAAAGTGGCTTAGGACACCCGCCCGGGCCTGAAGTGCCAAGTTTGGTATGGATCGGTTCAGAATTGGATTTTTCTCGTCGGAGAATACTTACACACAGACACAGAGACACAGACAGACAGACAAACACATACTCAACTTTATATATAAGACTAACAAGTGGGCAGATACATTGACGCATATGTAAGACAACATTTATTTACACTATTCACTGATTATTTCAAAAACATTCTACATTATCTTCAATGTAGTCTAGTCCGACGAATCTTATTTTGTGTTTGTATCAGCGCATTTGAGCTCATTCGAAAGCATCTATTGTAAATCGGTAGTTTTTCCATTTTTTTTCTCTTACAAAGCCTCATACTTTTCCATCTTTTCAAAAGGTTGCTTAGAAATGCTTTCACATTGACTTTATATTAATTTGAAAATCGCTAACAGAATATTCCTCTGCCTAGTGCGTTGAACGTTCCTTTCCCTCGATACCCTAGTTCGACGCTAAGGCCTTCCATGGAAAAACAAAATTTCTCCAGCAAACTTGCTCATAAAGACGAGTTTTTCATGGTTTCTTGGAATTTGGGCGGAAAAGGAGAAGAAACGTCCAAAACATGCTCTACCTTCATAGACATCCAACTTTATCTCCCCTGGACTAAAACTGAATGAATGTGCAATTTTTCGCTATTGGTTTCTTCAGCAAACATACTCCCAAAAGCACGTTTGATAGATTTTTTTGGAATTTTAAGCGGAAAAGGGAGATGCTTCTCAAAATAAGGATCAACTCCAATGTCGAATACCGCCCGGACCAAAAATGTTGCCTGCTTAGATTGAGATCGATATTTTGTAGCCAACGCCGGGAATGATACAAACTTTATTGGCCAACGTTTAGTCTTCTCGCCTTCGTCAGAGCCTGAATGGGATATCTACTTGTAACCCACGATGGCCAATACAGTTTGTTTCAATTTCGGCGTTGGCCACAAAATATCGATCCCAATCTATGAACTATGTCGAGATTTGTTGGGAGTCGTACGATCCGTTGTCTGCTTAGTTTTTTCGCTAGAAAAATCAAATCTTCGAGACTTTTCGAAAAATTGATTTTTTCATGGTTTCTCTCGAAATTTCTGCCGAAAAGTAGAGGAACCTTTCAAAATGAGACTCTGCTTCACGTCGAATTCTAGTTCGACTCTGGACCAAAATTAATTGAGTGCTCACGAATACCTCCCGTCGGGGTCAGGAATGAGTGAATGCTCAATTTTATTTTCCCAGCTCAATGTTGAAAAACCTCCGTTCCGCCACGGGACCCATAGTGCAAGCGGATCTCTCGTCTACGATAATGGCTATGGCCTTTCCTTTCATCACCACTGAGCGCCGACATATTTTCGCATTTTCGCTTTTTGGATTTTAACAGCAACTAGACTCTCCTTCATCAGGGCTCAGTACGAGGTAGCCGTGGCAGTTCCCAAAATAAAAGTCCCCTTGACTTCAAAGCACGTCTATGATATCCCTTATGGGGTGCTCACGGAGAAAAAGAACGTAAAGACAGATAGAACACTGGAAACCATTTCAAAACTTGGAAAATGACTGTGGTGCTTGTATGATTTGCTTTAGCGGCACGCTGTGTCCGCCGCGCACCACCGCGAGCTGTAGCAGCATTGCTGCAAATTCAAAAACTTTGGGGCTGCAAGAGAGGGTTGGCGGCGCTTCAAGAACGCACAGCTAAGTAAGTTGGTGTAGGGTAGAATTACGTAAAAAACTTGAAATACTTATGTGAGGAAAAAAATAATGACGCTTTTCCGCGGCCATCTCAGGAGGCCGTCCAGCTGGCCATAGAGCAAGCTAACTCCGAAAGAAATTTGCCACGGTTTAAATTCGCTTAAGTTTTCAAAAATCTTCGTACATGGTTCTAACTCCCTATAGCGCACTTACACACCAAGTTTGGTGTTATATATTATTGTGTTTTGATTTTAAACTAGACTTTTGTTTGCTTAGGATACCTCTGTGTTAGAGCGTGCCGTATGCATGCTGGTAGCATGCCGATGGTGTGCCTGCAACTCTTCTCCGTCCAAACCTGATATCACCCTTACTTGTCATCCCCCAAAACGATAATCAGCTTGCCCTTCAGGCCAGTGTGGCAAGCCCTGTTCCTTCAAGCATGGGGAGGATAGGAGGGCGCAGAAAACTTTGCCGTATGTAGTGCTTGGAAGGATTCAGTGGATATTATATAAGGATACGGTCGCGAAGAAGTATCACAAATCCACGTGACCGTATGGAACACGTTTATCTACAATATCGAAGATTGTTAACTCCAAAAGGATATCTAACTGCTGCATAATAAGAAAATGGGATTAGCGCCTCACTCCTAGCCGCCGATGATCGCCAAGCTTACTTTCTACACAAATGCTCTAGAGTTCGCCAGCAGGGTCGACCGCACAATCACCTATTCCAGCTCATCGAACAGTGCGACCCTCTCCACTGCTCTCGGATTGTACCTCCAGATTAAACCGACGAACCCACGCGCGCATGCGCGTTTGTACCAAGAAAACTTATTGCTCAATTGCTATCCAAAAAGAGGCGTCTTCTGCGAGAGCTCGCCAAAAGGCTGCCAAAAACTCAATAAGAGCCCGAGAAAGGCAGAGGTGTGTACCGCTCTCACCGCGGCTTTGATATACTTTCCATTTGACAACGAGTTAGCGGATGAGGTACAGGTACGGATATGATAGAAGCGCTCGTTACAGCGGCAAACGGCTCGAATAGTGGCTTGCATCGCCAGAGCCGCCCCCCCCCCCCGCCTCCTGCATAGTGGAGCATGGGCATTCGAAAACATGATTCCTGATAGCGCCAGCGCCACTGTAGTACTACCTTACCCTTCCCGTGTCAATGACACAAAAAATACAAATAACGAATACAGGATTGAATCAGTAGGTGAGTAAATGCCGCTAAGTAGAGTAAATATGGTGAGTAACTACCACTAAGCTAAGGTATCCAAGCATTAGGTAAATGAACAAATCGTATGAATACGATATAAGCATGCGTACCAAAGGCGAACCAGGCGCGGCCAATCATCGATACTTCAATTCATCACGCATTCCGCAATCATCAACATCTCCAAGCACATTCTCCATCTTCAACGACCATAACCACCCATCAACAGCAATCCATATGCGCTACTACGCACCAACAACCACACATTCCGCCAGATTCAGTTAACAAGGGA